TGAATTCATGTTTCTCTCATCACCTCACCAAGTTACTTGAATTATTTTTAACTTTTTATATTTTTATTTTTATCTTTATACAGTTTCTTTGTCCTACTACAATTTTCATGTCATCACCTCACTTAAGGTTTGGTTTCCCATCCTATATTCTTGGAATTTTAGAAGGGCACAGCCAGGGGCAGCAGTGATGGAAGAGAAAGACAATGCATACAAATTCCCCCAAACCAGAAACTAAATGGAACATACTTTCAGAATTTTCCTATAAAGCATGTTCCTCGGTGAGGTAGAAGATTGTGTTATTATGTCATCTAGCTGATTATTCTGCATTTAACAGTGCTGTTGGCCATAGCACACACCCCAATACTTTGTTCTAAATCAGGATTTACCTTACAATATATGGAATGGATAATGTCAATGTCAACTTCACCAGAAAACATGAAGAAATTTGGCCCTAAAGTGAAAAACATCTTTAAACATTTGCAGTTTTGCAAATCAAGTTTGTGATGTTTTGACGTGCCTTCTAAGGACTTTTGAGCCCTTGAAGTTCTTTTCCTTCTCATTCTACTAGACAAGCTAGAAACATATTATGAGCTGCAGGGAAGGCAATTTGTTTCCTGCTAGAAGCACTGTCATTCTGTTTCCACTGGGAAAGACCCACACATGCTACACCATACAACTTAGAAAATGAAAAACCCAGCCTGAACTGAAAGCTTTAACATAAGTAAGTTTAAAAATAGTATTGCCCTGTATGTTGCTAAAGCAAACAAAGTACAGATTGTCATTACTCTAAATACTTTTTTCTAAAGCTCTTCTGTGCACACCTTTCTAAGAAGGGAATCACAGTAAAGCCACAGGATGGACTGAGGTTCTGCTGGAAAATTTGTAGTTGCTTCTGAAATGTCTCACTGTACATAAAAGAGAGGAAGGAGAGCCAAGCTCAAAGCAGCTTTAGGCAATAATGGCTGATGGGATGTTGCTGTGAGGGCTTGCAAACCAATTACTGTGTGATGGAATAAAACCAGGTAATGGTGGACACAGATAAGTGACTTACAGTGCAGCTCAGGAAACTGATTTGTTCCTCTAGCTTGCTTGTGTTGTTTGGAGAGTCTGAGGCGAAACCTAATGATTCGTGTCTGCTAGCCAAATGAATCATTCAATACTGGACAGCTATCGAAACTGGACTCTGGCTATTTGGAGAGAGTGTGAACAGCAAAAAAAGAAAAAAATTGCTTAAGTTCTGGAGGCTCTGAATGGCTCTGAGCAGAACACACTTCAGAAAACATGGCAAGTTTTCTGGAAATGCAGACATGCTTTTGACAGCCAAGGCTAAAGCATGGTCTGTCCGTTTTCTGGAGGAAAAAATATAAGTTATTTGGGAGTAGAACTTTATCTGTGAAACAACTAACATCAGTAACAGGGGAACCAAACATGCCTGGCAGCAAATAATAGTATTCAAAATGGGTTTGTGTGTAAAGGTTTTGGTAGTGGAGGGCTACAAGAGTGGCTTCTGTGAGAAGCTGCCAGAAGCTTCCCCCATGTCTGACAGAGCCAATGCCTGTGCTCCAGGACTGCTGCTGGCCAAGGCTGAGCCAATTGGAGATGGTGATATGCCTCTGTGATAACAGATTTAAAAAGAAAAGAAGTTATTGCTCAGATCTAGTTGTGCTCAGAGAAGAGCAGGGTGAGAGGAAGTGTCTGCAGACACCAAGGTGAGTGGAGCAGGAGAGGCAGGAGCTGCTCCAGGCACTGGAGATGAGATTCCCCTGCAGCTCATGCTGATGCAGCTGTGTCCCTGCAGCCCATGGAGATCCATGGGAGTACAGACATCCCCCTGCAGCCCATGGGGGAGACCCACACTGGAACAGTGAATGCCTGAGAGTAAGCTGTGGCCCCATGGGAGGCCTATACTGTACAAGACTCCTGGCAGGGATCTGCAGACCCATGGAGAGGGAACCAACACTGGAGCAGGTTTCCTGGAAGGACTTGTGATCCTGTGGAGGATGCACGCAGGAGCAAGCTGCTCTTGAAGGACTGCATCCCATGGAAAAGTGACCCACATTGGAGCAATTTGTGAGGAACTGTAGCCCATGGGAAGCACTCCAGCTGGAGAAGTTTGAGGAGGACTGTCTCCTGTGGGAGCAAACCCACAGTGGAGCAGGGGAAGGACTTCTCTCCATGAACAGCAGCAGGAACAACTGACTGTTCATCACTCACTTCAGTGATGAACTGACTGTAACCCCCATTCCCACCCTGCACCACTTTGGGAGAGGAGGTAAAGCCCAGGAAGGAGAGAGAGGAGTGTGGGAGATATTTTTAAGATTTGTTTTGCTTCTTATTATCCTGCTCTGATTCTGATTGGTAATAAATTGAGCTAATATACCCAAGTCGAGTCTGTTCTACCTCTGACAGGAACTGGTGAGTGATGCTTCTCCCTGTCCTTATCTCAATTCATGAACCTTTCATTATATTTTCTCTCCCCCATCTAGTTGTGGAGAGGAGTGACAGAGCAGCTGTGGTGGGTACCTGAGATCCAGCCATGGTGAATCCACCACAAAAAGCATAGTGAAAAAACACATTGCTGGTGACAGACCAACAACAGGGTTGCAGTACGACTGCCTTGTATCTGCCAGCTAAAGCCAGGACCTGCTATAGTGACACACATGCAGTGGAGCCAGGCAAAATCTGCAATAGATGTTATATGTACACCGTTAACAAATCTAAACAATTTAAAAAAAAAACAAACAAAAAAAAACACCGACTAAATACATCCTAGCTTCTAAGGAGACTCACACCTGTGAGATTTCACTCTATTCCTCCAAAATTCATTCCAAAATCAATTTTGTTTTTGCTGAGAATCCCACGAAGAAAACACAGATCAGCACTGATTGCAGATAACATTCTACAGGTGCTGCTGAAGAAATTGTGTGACTCAGGGGAAACAAAATGTGCTTTCCAATTTTCCTGTGCTCCTGTGAAATTCAAAGACATAGCACATTCACCAGTGTGATTAAGGATAAATATCTCTGGCCTTCTCCAGACCTTATATACATGTTGAAATGTACTGCTTGCTCTTTCACCCATTTCCTTCTGCAGGATCGAGAATTCCTTATATTACACTGTCATCCCATGTAGCTATGAAGGATAATTGTTTATGCCTCCCTTAAAACAACATTTTTAAAGATTTAGAATCTTAAGTTAGTTTTCTGCAGAACAGCTACTCTCTATGGAATTCCAGCTGAGTAGAAAAAAAGTTCTGAATAAATCAGGAAAAAAAGACAGTTAATTATTTCACTGCTTTTAGTCCCATGCGCATTTCTATGGCACTCATATGTTGAAAGTACCAGCCTATGTGCCTGCAATCTTGGAGTATGCTCTACACTTCAGCAATTACATTTACAGCAATGACACATGGGAATGAAATGAAGTTGTGCTAAGGGAAGTTCAGAATGGCCATGTGGACAAGGTTCCTCACTGGAACTGTGTTCTAGTGATCACAGCACCAAGCCTGTCCGAGTTCAAGGAGTATTTGGATGATGCTCTTGGTCGTATGGCTTAGTTTTAGAAAGTCCTGTGAGGAACAGGGAGTTGGACTCAATCCTTGCAGGTCCTTTCAAAATGAGATACACTGTGATTCTGATTTCCTTTAATAGATAGCTTATCTCTGTAATAGTTCTTGTAAAAAAAAAACCACTGAAATCCATATTCAACATATTCACCTCCTTCATCACAGTTAATTAAAGTAAGACACTTTTTACTAGTCTGTGAGATAAATGCCTATAAAACTACAACACATTTGTATATTTATAATATTTATAATATAATATAATATTTATAATAGGAAAGGAAAGATACCTTGATGTCTTTTTTTTTTTTTACAAAAGTTGTGCAATATTTTTACTACAGCATCAAATCCTGGGAGCTTGTCATTAGGGCAAAAATTTTTTGATACTTGCAAAAATTTATAAAGAAGTTTGTTAGACCTCATGGATGAAAAAGTAATCTGTAAACATAATTCAAGTACACCCTGAAGGTTTAAAGATTGAACCATTATTTTATTTTGGGAATGTTGAATCATGATTTTCAATGCTTTGAGCTGGCAGCTGCAAGATACTTGCAAGCTGAAATACCAGTTTAATGAGTAGCCTATAGAAATATTCAGACTACCATCAGAAATTTTTTGAGCTTGAATCATACCAAAAACTTTACAGAGATAAAAAATAACCAAAAAATACAGCTAAGGAACCAGGAACTATAAATTCTTAAAATTTCTTAATACTTATAATAGGGAGGGCAAGGGGGGGGAGGGTTTATGTTTGTTTGTTTTAGAAAACCTAACTGCAGTCTCCTAGACTTTAAAATGTTGATTAATGTAAACACAAGAATAGGCTTACTTGATTGAAGTAGGTTTTTTGCATTAAATAATATTTGAGATAATAAATAATAGGATATCAGATGAAAAATATGATAAATATATAGTTAATATGTATCTTATATTTCTTGTGTCAAAATTTTCCTGCAGGAAAGATATACCATCTTGAGGACAAAGCATTTGCCTAGTTTCAAAGACCACACTTTTTTTTTCATCCCCTGCACTTTTGTGCTGGTAAACACTTACACTGGCTTTTGCGCTGTACTCAAATACTTTGCTAAATATATCAGCTTTATCCTTTAAACCCTGCAATGGCAGAGTGTTAAAATAAAATATACTTCTATGTAAAGAACCTTTTGTTCAGATGTGAGCTTATGTGGGAAAAAAAAATGTGAAGAAACAGCTCCCATATTGTACTACTCTTTCATCTGAATGAAGAAAACAGATGTGGCCAAAAAACGCTGCTTAGATTAGCTGATATGCCCCACATACATTTTTTCCAGTTCATGCATCCATGTATTATAATAAACCACATACTGGACTAAGCTTAAAATGAGCTGTAGTCCCATTAAAAGGAAGACCATACATTTGGGTTTAGCACATCATAATTAACCTTTTCTTTTTAAATTGACTAGACTGACCTGTTAGGAAAGAAACTGCAATAACCACTTTCCTCTAGAACCTCTTCAATTAGAATCTACAACATTAAAGAACTTAATTTCAGTGAACTAAGAGTACTATTAAGAGCAATAAATGAATACATATAGATAAATGTTCAGCTTACCTGCAACTGCTTATATGACATCCCTTCTGCTACGCCAGAAGTGCCAAGAATGCCTTAAAGTAAAAGGCAAGTAACATTAAACTACTGAACTTGGGATTTATGCTCCCTTAGCAGTTTCTTAGCAATTCCCCTTCAAACATAATGACAAGACAGATGCTTCACGACCAGTAACTCTCACTGAGCACAATGACCCCCTAAAAAGTGGGGTCATTTTATGGCATGATAACAACATTTGACGCACACACATTATGGAAGTATCCTAACCAATGAAAAATATTTTATAGACTTAATGTAACAGAACTCAGAAATGCAACTTCCTTATTTTTTCCCTCTTACAGTGGAAATTTACAGTGGAAAAGGGCACACAGCCAGCAGTGATTTGTGAGGTTAAGAGATTCAAAAATTACAGTCAATGAGCAGCTCAACAAATTGCATTATCTTCTCCAGGAACAAAATAATGCTCGTATTTAAAGTGACTGTTAGGGACTCATTTCCTGCTCAAATATCACCCTTGACACCTGGTATTAATTTTGGTTTTGCAATAAGCTGTGGAACTGATATGCTATTTGCAACACAAAGGCCATCAAAACTAAAGTTTCCCACTCTTCTTTCTGGCACCACCGATTTTAATGTTACTGTATCCTCTAGTCCATGGATTGCAACACAGTTTTTTCTGTATTTAGAAGAATGTAAATGGCACAATTACCAAAATACAGGCTCCACATTTCCCTTACATCCATTGCACAAAAAAAAACACATGATGAAAAAAGTCTCTGAACCAGGAATTGTAGTTTCCCAACCCAGGTGATGCCACAGCTGGTAGGTTCAATTGTACATGGTGTTTATGATTTGTCTTCAAATCACTAGTCCAAAGTAGAATTGACACATATATTGATATATTTTCTAAAGTATATATACAAATGTGTGTGTCTGTATTTTTCCCTCCTCAAGTTCATAAGGTTTGATCTAGCTATGTAATTAAATCAACCCATTACAACCATTTCACACATGACAAAAGAACAACATAAGGGTTTAAACAGTATTGGTTTAAAAATCATATGCAAGGACAAGTAAATCCTAAGTATGACATTTTCAGTTACAAATATTTTATTAATTTTCATGGCTGAACTACAAATTATTTGCATCTTTGATATTTCTTTATAATTTCCAAGTGTACTCTCTTCAATCAGTAGAAAATTCCAGCAGCGCTGAACTGTGTATCTTACCAGGAATTAAATAAAAGAAAACAAAACCCAACCAACCAACAACCCTCAAACCAAAAACAAACAAACCAACCCCCCAGAAACTCTGTATGGTCAACATAACTTTATTGTCTTTAAAGACTGATCTTGGAGTAGCAATTCCTTCTGCTTTGATACCTTATACTTTATTAGAAATATATATGCCACTACAGAAGTTTATTATGTTTTGTTTACCTTTTCTATCATCTGGAAGCAAAATATTTCCACCCATGCCAATCTGCTGTGAAGATATTTGGTTTAATCAATTCAGGAGAACCTTGCAGCAGCTAGGGAAAAAAATAGAGACCAAAAAATTAAAGTCACCTGAAAAGTCCATCCTTCCCATTTGCCAAACCTTCAGACTTCTAGGAGGCAATTTACACTTCCTTATGTTTCCCAGAAGCTTTCTTCTGCAATCAGAAATCCAAAGAAGTTTCAGTACTTTTTAGATTAATGAAAAAGTGGTGAACACAATTATGAACATCCTACCTTTCTCTCTCCAGAAACACTGAACATTGCAAGTTGCACATAGAATAAAGCACTGAATTCTTCAGATGATCTGAATAAAATGTCACAAACCTTACATTTGTGTGAAGATAAACAGGAAAATGTATTCTCTTGAATATATGAGAGAAGCAGCTAATGACTCTGGTTTTTAAAACTGTGGCTTCAAGTGAAATTGTGAAATTGTTAGCTGATATTCAAGTGATATAATTCCTATTAGAGGGATCCCAGCACTTCTGAAAGTCATTTCAGCTACTTGATTGTATGAGCAATGAAACTGACATTAAACTTAAAAACATCTAGTTTTGAAAATATCCACTGGTAACAGCTCTGACAGGATCACTTTCGTGTGCAGGAGGGAAATTTCAGTGATGCATTTCTGCAGCATGATAACACTTTTTACAGTTACAGAAACAGAAGAATCTCTGTTGTTGGAAGACTTTTACCCCATCACTGAACAGTGGAGGAATCTTTTTTCTGAAATTCTTATTAGGTTTTCTAATTTGGTGTAGTTAAAACCCCATTATTTTTAAATTTTATTTCTAGAAATTGTACAACCTCAAAACATTTGCTGTAAGGGTTCAACCTAATTCTTTTCTCTGCTCCTGTTCCTCCCATTACCTCCAAATGAAATCCATGTAACCCAGTACATTAACAGTGTTGTTTTTGGTAAATTATATGATATTTATGCTTATCAATTCTCCATCCTTCTAACTGCACTTTTTTTTGTTGCTTTCCATTAATAGATTATAACTATTCCTTCAAGGTAGAATGCCCAGAATTGCTTCCAGCATTTCAAATATTTTCGATTTACTACCATTTACTTTTCAAACAGAGTATTTCTTCCCTTTTCTACAGGTTTAAATCCAATAGTTTTGAACCTAGCACAATTTTACAGTTAATAACATTTACAAATAATTTCCTTAATATCTGAACAGCTGAAAATTAGGTTGATTTTGTAATAAACACTTCCTTTTTCTTATACTTTCGAGCACACTTTTTTGAAAACATCAATTCAATACACAATGAGCAAGTATTTCTATGCTATGGCTGAAATACAGGAATTGTTTAATGTAAATCCCAACTTGATTGACAGGACAGCATGAAACTGACAGCTCAGAAAGAAGCATCTTTAACTACCTTTCTAATGTATTACCAATGTGCCACCTTCCAGGAAGTTTTAGCATCTCAGGTGAATTATTACAAAAGCAAAGGAAGGATCTGGTGTTTGAGGTAGGTCTGTTTTGTAGCAAACAATGACACAGAAGACTACATAATTCAATGGAAGTAGGTGATAATCAAGTTACAGAGGAGAATTATGTGAATGATAATAAGTCACCTTAGTCATCAAATTTTAGGTACGATAATATATCTAATAACCACTTTATCATCAATTCATAAACTAAATGTCTTAGCTTCAGTCTCCCACAGTACACAGACACCAAGGAAGTAAATTTCAAATCCTTTACTGATTACAGTCCTCTCAGGAGATTTCAAAGGAACATTTAGAAATTCTGATATTAATCATTAGATCTTTCTCTGTTGGAGGGCATCCAGCATGTCACTGGAAAACATGCAAGCGTGCTCCTTTGCTCAGGCCATTCTTACAGATCTGTGGTAGTTTTAAACCAATGACACAAAAATGTTGCTGACACCCTGTGCAATAACAGGACGAGGCATGTTATATTCAAGGTACTCTGGGACAGTGCTTTCTTAGGATTCATGGTTTGAGTAGGAGTACAGTACAAAATATGAAAAATATCAAGGAACTATTATCTTACCAAGAAGAGATTGCATAAATTAAGAGCTTACATAACCTTTAGTTACAATTGCCCTTCCTCTTATCTTTTTGAGTTCTGATGAGATGAGGTCTGCTTTTGTGTATTAGGAGCTAGCAGGTCCTTTCCATCTACAAAAGGAGTTCTACTGACAAGATACAAACTTGAAATCAACTGCAGAAACTCCTTACTTAAGGAGACTCCATATTTGCCAAATATAGGATAGCTAGAGAATATTCTAAACATTTCCTTTAGAAAATGGACTCTTGCACTTATATTTTTGTGATATTAATATCAATAGCATGATTGAATGGAGAGACAAACTTGACCACAAGTAGTAAATGGTGTACCACACCTTTTTGATTTCTGATTTCAGTTTACAAGGATTGCCCTGCTGACTGACAAGGGACTTCTTGAATCTCTCAATGATTCTCCTTTTCAAATTGCATCACAAAGCTGGAGAAAGCTACATGAAACAAAGAAATACACTTTCACCATTTATGGCAGTTACACCTGCCATAAAATGACCCATTCAGAAGTGCCATTATTGAGAAATGTAGCTACACTGCAAAAAGAAAGATTGATATCTAATGGCATGGTGATAAACAACAGTATAAGAATTGATTTAATGGCATATTATAATAAGGCTCCTTTGTTTGCCCATTAGGCTTAGCTTACCATGTAACTCTGTTCTTCTTGTCTTGAAGTCAAACATCATTATTAGCCTAACACTGATAATACCAGATTTGCCTCCCTGATCAAAGTGCAAGTATTTGGGACATTTTTCTACAGATGAAACTCACAGAACATTACACTAGATTTCATGATGGCTACAATGAGTTGCTCCATCTGAAATTAATGGAATATCAAGAAGCTTAGACCTTCATTCAGTGTGCATAGAATAGCTTCAATGGCCTCTTTTGAGGTCCTTATGGGTCTCTATACAATTCAGAGCATCCCTTTTGCTCTAAGCCTCCTGAGGGAGGTAATTTACCTTTCACTTGTCTATAAAGCATAACTGATTTTATATACCTTTTCCTCTTGTGTCTTTTTGGTTGAAAAAGAACACATCATTCATCTGTATTTACAAAAAACAAAAACCCAAACAAAAACCCCACAAATCGTACTCTACTGTACTTAAAGTCTTCAATAGAGAGTCCAAAGGATGTTTTTTCCTTTAAAATAATTTTTATGCTCCAATTGTAAATGTACAGTTTCAGCTGTTGGTCACTGCAATGACACCAACCCATTCTGACAACCATTCTCTGGTATGTTACTACCCTTTTGAATTTATCTTCTATGCTGTTTCTGTGCAGTTGTTTATACCTGCAGACACTGTTTGAAAAACTATGATTATCTCCCATTTAGTATACACTTTGTAATCATTTAGTTGATGTAAATTCATGAAATGCCACTCTGCTGAATTCAGGAAGCTTTTTGACTATTTAGGGAGGGGTGACCACTAATGATTCACATTCAAACATTGACATAGTACACTTTATAAAGACGTTTATCCCACTGGAGCAAATTACTGCTCTTAGACAGCTATAAATCCAGAACAGTTTTATTGGCCTCACAGGAGTCCTGATTTGCTCTGACAAACCAGGAATCAAAGTCACATGTTAAGCACAAAAGACTTCTCCAGACAGCTGCTGACATGCAGATTTTTTATTTTTTTTTCTTTTTTACAGACAGATATTACTCTTCTTTTCATGCAGATTAGGCCTTAAACAGATGCTTTAAGTCAGAAGTTCAATGCTCCCTAGCCTATAAGAGAGTAAAGAAAAGATGCCTTAGGAAAGGCCAGCAACATATTCCATGGATTACACAGCACTGCAATCAACTGTGTGTAGTTAATGTACCATGGGGATACTGGGATATTCTGAAGCAGAAATGGTAAGGAACAAGTTCAGTGCTTGAGAAACTTGGGAGTTGCCTTGGGCACTAGTGTTCAATTTTAGCTTTTGTTTTAATGAAATCTGTTGTCAGATCAGTTAAAAAAAAAAAAAAAAAGAAAAAAAGAAAAAAGAAAAAGTCAAGCATTTACATAATGCTTTTTAAAAATCTTTCTCTCACATTGTTTTCCAGAGACCACTCTGATTCTTGTTCCCATGGAAACAGGGGAGGCTGCTGGCAGCCAAGAACTAACAGGCAAGAACTCTTCCTTGCAAACTTCAGTTTAGACCTGTCAGCTGGAATATGTAACAGTTTGAGAAAACAGCTATGTATTATAAAAAATACTCAACCTTAGATTTGTAAGAACATAAACAAGTGCAAGGAAGGCATATGGAACATATTAAACAAGTACAGGTATGGATTCTGGTTTCTCTGAAATCAGAGAAAAGCTGTTCCTCCTGCTTCAGAGGTCATCTGAGCCAGTTTTTGAGTTGCTGTTAACTCTCAGTTCTTGAGCATTCACATTACAATAACTCATATTAATTAGTAAGCCACTTGAGAAAGCCTTCTTCAACAGAGAGGATTAGTTCACTAATAAACACCTTGGACATACTCTAAATATAGCATGTAAAAACTCAACTGCCTCATTTCTGCTGATAGGAGAAGGATATAGTTTCCAATTATTTTAAATAATGTTTGTTTCCTTTGTTTTTGATAATTCAGTTCTTGTATTACCTTTTTTGATAAGCTTGACAACTAAAACAAAAAAGAAACAACAAAAAAGAGACATGTAAAGCACACCCAAGTTCAGTTATGTTATTCTGTTCTAAACAAAACCAAATTTGGCTGATCAGTCTCAAAAGCCCTGAGGTGATAAACATCACATGCCAAATGTAATGTTCCAATACTTCATTTTGGAAAACAAAAAGCTGTTAATTTAATAGTAGCAAATTTTTCAAAAAGATGCATGGTAGCCATCTTTCTGCAGAATAAACAGGTTCCAATCACATTTTCAGGTGAGAGTTCAAGGCAGATTTTGTATCAGCTCAGCTCCATTTTTGCTTTGGAATCAGCATCAAAAAACTTCAACTCTCTCACTATGAAATAGTTGAACCTAGTTTTAAAACAAGTCTTAAATTTGAAAAATATCTGACATTTCAAAATAGTTAACATATTCAGGATTTCATCTATTGCACTAAAACTCCCAAGACAGTATTACTATGTACTGATAATTAAAATATAACTTCAAAGTTATTTCAAAACTATTACTACAGAGGAAAATATATTATTAACTCTCCATATCAGTAAATGATATTATCAGCTTAAGTAGTCATATTGCTGGCATGACAGAATGTTGTAAAAATACTTTACTGTACAATCCATTTTTCTGAGGTGAGACACAGCTTTTTTTTTTCATATGACTCAATTATTTCCATCCTCCACATACTAATATTCAAAGTTAGTCTTTATTTTAATGATATATTTTTAAAGCATCCTGCCATCTGCAAAAATGTCAAGTTCTGTTGTTTTTAAAGAACAGTAACTAAATTAGCAGCACTTTGCAGTAACATCATTTTGACAACAACAAATGACTAAAAAGTACAGAATGTCAGAAGCAACAGCAATGCATACTTGAGTGATGAAGATAATTTTGTGCGGCTGAATAAGAATCTGCTGAACAGGGTCACTGATCTGACTCACTTTCCTTTGTGATACAGCAATTCCTGCCAATGCTGTAGATGACAAGAGTAAAATCAGGAGGGCAGCTCATTTTGGTGCCTTAGTACGTTAATAGCATACTGAGATTAAAACTTTGCAGACGTAAATACCAAGTTGAAATGCATGACTTGTTTTCTCAATAATGCTGGGAAGAAAAAAAGGATAATCTAAAATGTTAAAAATTTAGACAATGCAAGTGACAATGTGTTGTAAAAGAAAATCCCTTCCTCTGAATCACTAAATTACTCTATGAGAAAAGCAGTATTAATGTACCTTAACTATTGTTAAATTTTGACACATTTATTCAAAAGTTTAAATATATGATAAACATAATTTTATTAACTGATTTTTTTTACATAGACTAACACAAAGTATTTTTACATATATTTTGATGTTATGAAATTTATTTTCATTCTACCCTGAGGATTATAATAATATGTTTGACGTGGACCAGTTCAATGAAGTAAATCTATTGTTTAGGATTTTTTAACTTGTGTATTAAAGTCATACACGTTGTCAGGCCCAGAGATTAAATAAAAGCATATCAGCAGACTTCCTCTATAAAACATTTAGCATATCACTAAGAACATTAGTCCACAAAACAATCTTTCCAAGTTGACTATTAGACCTGAAGCTAAGCAAAGAGCTTTGGCCAAAGAATTGAACTTCAGCCAGCAGCCCTGTACCTCTCTTAAATACAATTATCTCTAAACTACACTTCAGAGGCTAATTTAGGTATTCTAACATTTAATCCCACAGAAACACCCTGAGGATCATCAAGTCTTATGTATAAATCTACAAGAACAGAAACTTTTTCTTTTTTTTTTTTTGAAGTGATCTTATGTCAAGCTTAAAAATTCTACTGAGAGGGTGATGAAATCTAAATATCAACATTAACTAGTCCACAACAGAATTATTACCACTTTTTTACTGATGAATTTCTGTGCTGGCTAATTTAATAAGAAGAAAGACATTCACAAACATTAGTTTCTAAAGACCATCCAGATCTGAACTGTGCTTTCACAGAAACAAAGTGATAAAGAAAACATTCTTCTCTGCCACAGG